TATCGTAATGGGACTTTCTAAACGAAGAGTGAATGTATTCTGTAACCGCTTGTAAGCAAGAATATCTGGCCAAATACCGTGATTTAATAATTCAAGAAACATCGTTAAAGGCTCACATTAGAAATGTAATCAATAGATTTGTTCGAACTGGCAGTATCAACAAAGAGAAATCTCGTGGAAGATTTCATCTGAGGAAATTGGTGATGATTTGAAACGACTTGAGCAGAATTGAACAATTCAACAACGGGTCCAAAGTATAGACGAAAGGATGTCACAGAACATTTTTGAAATTAAAAAGAGAATGAACATGTGCCTTGAACAGAATGATGAACATTTTCAACATTTACTGTGATGTTTAACCCCAATAAATTTGTTTCTTTTTATCGTAATGAATTATTAGTTTTATTTTTTAAAAACATATGGCTTTTTTTTTTGTTTTAACATTAAAGACGGTGCTCCAATTTCTCTCCCAAGGGACTGAAGTTGATGGTAAGTTCAGTAATATCACAGCCAGTTTAGTCACTTCTCGTTGCCCACACAATCCTTTCCACCACGCTAATGGACACACATGCTCTGAAGCCTTCCACAATGATTCTCTGGACCATAGTCCTAATTTCGCCTTATACTCACTAATATCAGCAATCACTTTGCTTGGATATAAATCATATGATTTACACATTCTGATGATCTAATGCCCTTTGTTCATCATCTTCAAATAAATATTCTTCCTTTAACTTTCGATTTAAAAGTTGAGCAGCCAATTCTGCAGGATGAAACATAAAGGTTTTACGACGATTTATTGCAGAAATTGCATGTTTTTTAAAATGTTATGTTGCATTGTTTCAATTTTTGTATGCACATATGATCAGTGTTGGGGACAGATACTTTTAAAAGTATCTAGATACAGATATAGATGTATGGAAGATAAAAGTATCTAGATACAGATTGTTTTCGATTTTTTCGGAATGTATCTAGATACAGATACAGATACATCACCATTAAATTTAAAGAATCAAATTAATTAATTTTTGCGTTTTTATTAACGTAATTCTTTTAAACAAAAGCAGTGATTTAATTAATTTTCGCGCACAGGCGTTATTTTAGTTGCTTAAAGTTATAACGCAATTTTGAATAATTTCTAATAACAGGAAGCTGTGTTAAAATTCGTTTTTTGTATGATAAAATAGTTTTTTGTTATCAGCCTAATCTTTACCTATTATATTACACCTGTTTTAAATTTCATCAAAATCCCTTAAAAAATTGTGCCCGAAAGTGTTACATGGGACACCCGGTATATCGCTCTAGATTTTCACATGTCACTGATGTGCGATTATCTGCAATAGTATATTATTAGCCAAGGTTGCAGAGCCAAGCATTCTAGACCGAGCGCAAATTAGAACCCGAGACGTGCAGCGTCGAGGGCTCTAAGGGCGAGGTCTAGAAGTGGCTTTGCAACCGTGGTTAATATACTATTTTTTTCACTAGTAGAAACCATAAGACAATAAACTGAAAAATAAACGTTCAATTTTTTGACACAACATGATTTTGTTTTGATTTCTAATCAAACTTAATCTAAATCTTCAACACAAAGAAAACCGTTTATATTTGTCGCTGAGTTAATCATTTTATCTTGTACCATCTACCAACTACCATGCGTATACTCAAGTAATGTTTGTAGCACACATTTGTTCATTTTTTAAGAAATAATCACATCAAACATTGCGTACATAACCTCAATTTTTCTTTTTGAACCGGTGGTAGCAAAAGTTGAATTTGCTACCACTAAATGAGTCGACATTTGCATGCGTCCAGGCTGCTAGTGAAAAAAAGATATTTCTACATCAGTTGATGTAATGGACGCAATCTTTGACGCAATGGGTTCTTTACATTCTTTTTGTGAATTTCTCCTTGTTCATGCTGTTCCAAATGAAACACCTTTTCACACTTAAACTTGAATACTCAACATTAAAATTAAAATATAGTATGTTATTTTAAACAACAACAAATTGATCAAAATCGTAATTATAATTACCTACATGCTTACCACTTTGCCACATGCTTTAGACAATAATCCGCTGGCATCGTTGGCAATTTAATATATATTGGCATCATCTTGGATTTGAGCCAGTCAGTAGTTAATCTTAACCGTGTTGAGGTTTTTTCTTTAGGCATCAGGATGTTTAAGAATATTTCACAAGTGAACACCAAACTTACGCCACGACACAATTTTAACTGAACGTCAGAAATATGGCAAGTGGGATTAGCAGAAGTGCATTTACAAAAGAACTAATAAAAATGTGTTACAAACTTGGTTGTAAGATAAAATATTATAGTTGAAAGTAAAGGCGCAAGATGTCTTTCAAAGAACTGCCGCACTTTATTGGTGTTCTTTCCTGGAAAGGTCTGCTTCGGCTCACCCATTGTGTGTATTTTTGTGAAATTACCGCAAAACAGCAAGTTTAGGATGTTTTAGGGAATTAGGCAATTATAAAAGTAGGCTGAAATAACGTTATTTTTTGCGAAACACATTTATATCTAAGTTTTATATAAATGCCTTAAACAGGAACAAAAAGGCAAAAAACCTAAAGTCTGGGCCCTACTTATCAAGGCCGGATATTTTTTACACTTATTAACAAGATTTCTTTTCATTCGGAAAGAATTCGCCAAATAGCTTGCCTGGAAAAACTTAAAAATGGTTGTATAATAGTTTCCGTCCCGTTTCCCGTTCTCTTTGGTGAAATACTTCCAAATTAATCCTTCTTCCCTCGACATTGTCAAATTATTGATTTATGCCTAAAATGAGGAACAACACGGACATTTGGAACAAAACCAAGGATGATTTACAACTTACCATATTGCTTACTAAAACAAAACTTACGAAAATGTGCTGCGCAACATTCCAGTAACAGTCAGACACAAAAATATCGCGCTTCACGCACCATGTACACTTAAATCTTAAATGACGTCCAAACGTTGGTTAGAAAATTGCAATGCGAATTGCGCCAAATTTAAAATAAATAGCCGATTTAATGTAAATAGCCGCGGATAGCAAACCTGATGTTAATCCGGACAGTTATAAGGATGAAAATCTACTCTCAACACTAAATGCCATGATGCCAGGATGTCATCTCCAAAATTTACAGTGTTTTTCAGTTTCGAGTCATGATTCGAAAGTGTGTTTTAAAAAAATAGATTAATCTTTATCAAATCTGCATTACATGTTCCAGTGTAAAAGAAGTTTGAATCTATACTTCTGCTTTCGTGTGTCCTTATTCTTACATCTTGTTGGGAAATTTGCCTGTTTGTAATAGATATGCTTTAGGTAAATTATTTTATATCTACTAGAAGCTGAAGACGAACTAATGGTCATGCACCAATCATAGAACCAAAATCTTTAGAACACAGGTGAATGGCAATTTTTGCATAACAGTTTGAAGAATATTTAGGCAAAAAATATATACAGCAATTTAAAATTATTATTGATCCGTTTCGAGTCATGATTCGAAACTGTATTAAATAAATGCATACGAATCTTTATCAAATATACAACAGACATTCTGATGCAAGACAAATTTGCCCAATAGACCTATTTTTTAGCACATATTTTTACTTTTATGCTTTTATGATGTATTAATTATATAATAACTATAATATAATATATTATAATATACTGCAGGTAATTGGTATCATATCTACCAGCGGCTGCAGGCGAATACTCATTCACCAATTACCAAACTAACAAATTTGCAAAAGTCGCAAACACTAGTTTCGCGTAACATTCTAAACAATTTTTAGATAAAAAAAAAAACCAGCAAAACTTAAAACTGTTGTTCTTCCGTTTCGAGTCATGAGTCGAAATTGTTTAAAAAAATATGTATGAATCTTTATCAAATATGCATTATATATTCATTCTGATACAACTGAAGTTTCCGTAATAGATTTAACTTTAAGCGACTTCGTGCAATTTGCAAATCTGAAATAGCTGAAGCTTATAATTGGTATTTGCATAACGTTGAAATGTCTGTTCAGCGCAATCCTAAGAAAGTTTTCAAATTCATTCATTTGAAACAAGGTACTACCAGAATTTCTGGTAAAATGCACGATGAGGATATAACATACGAATCGGCTGAAGATATTGTTAATGCGTTTGCAAGAGTCTTTTCTGATATACAGGGTGCCGCATCCAAGTCTGGATATAGGGAATTAACATGGCAATTGGTTTTTATTTTATAATATCTCCCCAGATCACTTTAAAGCTATTATTGAGTGATGGCTTTGTGGAGGTTGAAGAGGGCTATCGACCAGTATTTTTTTCAAATCGTTGCATCGCGTTCATTTACTGTAAAAAGGTTTTAAAAATCGTATTTTGAAATTCGCGCCCGATCCGAGTTGTCGCGAAATGTTCCGTCGCACTGTCGAAGTTCGGCGATCGCGTCTTCAGATTAGCCATGCAAAATCCAAATGTCAAAGTGAAATTAGAAATTATTCTCAGAAATCAACGAACAACTCAAACTGATTTATTTTACCCGGTGTGATGATTATTGTAGGACATATTAAACGGAATAAATGCACAAATTGATCCATTCATTCGTCATAGTACGCGACCCCGTCAAACGATTCATCTCGAACTACATTCAGGCCGTATCCAAAAAGCCCGAGATGAAGACTTCGAGCAGCTGGGATTAGATGAAAAAGCGAGGGCCTGCTTGTTCTTCGACGGCTAATTTAATTAGTAGGTAATTTGGATAAATTTCACACTTTTTTTTGAATCACCAAAGATTGGAAGTCAATTGATTTTACATTCGTTAAGCAGGGATGGAATTTTTGCCGCATGGAAACATGTTCGTTACAAGAAATTTTTGAGAGAGAAATCTAGAACATTCACTCATCAACATTTTAAAATATTTTTCTGTATTACGAATGTGTTTTGGGATTCAGAAACTTGTGTATTACTGTTTTATTTGTTTATTGTGTTAACAACAACAAAAATAAAAATAATATTTCACAAAACAAAGTTACATTTATTTTCAAAGATAATAAAAATTACATAAAATCAGGTGGTGTTAACAGGTGCATGTTTGGCGCCACAATTTGAATTATGCATTTAAGAACTTTTACTAATTTGTAACTGTTGTAAGGGATGCCGTGTCATTGGCACCAATCAGATTATCTCAAGCTCTTGTACGATCCGTGGTAGAAACAATTCACTGGCTCTGATTCTTATCAGGTGGGCACGACGTCTTTTAGGGATCTTAAACAGATGGGATAGAAGAGTTTCAAAAAGCATCATGACAAAAAATTAAAGCCTGAGGACTACTCACATATGGAGTTTTACGAAGGAACGCTTGAGAAAATCTAGGCTGATGGAGAGTTTTTGAGGAACATTTGTTTTACTGAGGAATGTTCATTTGGTCTTAAGGGAAGTTATAATCGTCAGAACGATCAAATTTGAGCAATACACAATCCTCACGTGGTCGATGACCATCGTTATCAATGGCGTGCAACTGTCAATGTGTGACTGGGGCTTCTAGGACATCATGTCATTGCACCTTTTTTCATCGAATCTGGATTGAATGCTCAGAAGTAGGACAATATCAGCAAATACTTCCTAGGATTCGAAGGGTGCGGCATCTGCAGCAGATCTTTTACATGCAGGATCAAATCTCCAGCCATACAACTCGCACAAATGTTGTTTATTTGAACCAGTATTTTCCCGCAATATTGGAATGGAAAGTTTTCACTGCCCCATTGGCCTGTGCATTCGCCAGATCTAAACCCCTGGCAATTTGTTCTTTGGAGATTTCTTCACGAGCATCTGTATTCGAACAATACGAGCTATACAAACAGAGACGCGCTGAAACAAGCAATCCAGCAATATTGTCTTCAGATTTCAACTCAAATGCTAATCAACACGCGTAGGAGTTTTGAAGATTGGCATACTTACTGTACGGCTGCTGAGAGCAGTCTTTTTGAGCAATTCTTGAAAATAGTGCAATACTTCTCCAGATTCGTACAATATTTCATTACTTCATTCATCAACAATTGTTAAGTTTTGTTATTTGTAGTTATCTAAATGGTTCATTAAAAGGTTCTCTTCAAAAGCGCCAGCTCTTTTGATGGTAAATCTTATCATCACACAATAAGAAAAGCGGGCCCTCGCTTTTTCATCTACTAGCAGTAGAACATGGCATTTTAATGAGATTTTAGTAATAAAGACTCGACCAGCACCACCAACATAACCTAATAAAACATTTTGTGCAGTTTGTGCATTTATTCCGTTTAAATTGACCTACAATAATAATCGTTATATTGGATAAAATAATTCAATTTGAGTCGTTCAGTGATTACTGAGTGAGGCAGCGCGAGTACATCCCTAGCTTCTTCTTCTTCGTCTTTTCGGTACGAATGTACATTCCTAGCTTGAAGGGCTCCCAGGACATGTCAGAATGCTGTCGATGGGGTTTACAGGAAGACCAGCTGCTCGAAGTCTTCATCTCGGGCTTTTTGGATACAGCCTGAGTGTAGTTCGAGATGAATCGTTTGACGGGTTCGCGCACTATGACGAATGAATGGATCAATTTGTGCATTTATTCCGTTTAATTTGTCCTACAATAATCATCACACCGGATAAAATAAATCAGTTTGAGTTCTTCGTTGATTTCTGAGAATAATTTCTAATTTCACTTTGACATTTGCATTTTGCATGGCTAATCTGAAGACGCGATCGCCGAACTTCGACAGTGCGACGGAACATTTCGCGACAACTCGGATCGGGCGCGAATTTCAAAATACGATTTTTAAAACCTTTTTACAGTAAATGAACGCGATGCAACGATTTGAAAAAAATACTGGCCGATAGCCCTCTTCGACCTCCACAAAGGCATCACTCAGTAATAGCTTTAAAGTGATCTGGGGAGATATTATAAAATAAAAACCAACTTGCCATGTTAATTCCCTATGTCCAGACTTGGATGCGGCACCCTGTATACCGTCCTTCGTCAGACCTATCAGTTAATGGTATTCATAGTAACCTACCAAGTTTTAAACTTATACCCATCTCCGAAGAGCTTCTTAAAATAATGTCAACCTTCCCCATCAAAAACACTGCAGGTAAAGATCAAATTCCAAGTTTTCTTATTCATGATATTAGATTTGCGTTAGTTAAACCTTTAGTTTTGATCATTAATAAAGGAATATCCACTTCTACTTTTCCAGTTAGGTGAAAACGAGCTAAGATAATTCCGATCCACAAAAACAATGAACAGTGGCACCGTCCAATCTCAATATTGTCCAACTTTGCTAAGATCTTTGAGCAAGTTATATATAAATCAATTTTTAATAATATTCAATCCTACATTTCACCTTATCAACATGGGTTTATAACTGGACGATCAACAGATACCAATCTTGTGACAATTACCCAGTTTATATGTGAAGAATTAGATAATAACGGCCAAGTTGATGTGGTTTACACAGACTTTTCAAGCGTCTTCGATATTGTGGATCATCGAATTCTTTTAGATAAACTTAGTTCCTTCGGTTTTGCTCAATCATTCCAGGCCCTTATAATGTCATATTTATCAGATCGAATTAATTATGTCTCCTACAATAGTTATAAGTCACAAGAATATGTCTCAACATCAGGCGTACCTCAGGGGTCTAATCTTGAACCACTGTTATCCATATTGTTCATTGATGATCTTCTTAGATCATCAATGTCATGCACTTGCCTATGCTGATAATTTGAAGATTTACTCTAGAATTTCGTGTGTGAATGATGTTAATTATCTGCAGCACAACTTGAATAAGATTGTACTTTGGACTCTTCGTAATAAGCTAAAATTAAATATTGCCAAATGTCGTATAGTTTCGTACACTCGTAAAAAACATAGTGTTCCTTCTTCTTATAAAATCAATGGCGTACCATTATCCAAAGAATCCTTGGAATACTATTTGACAGTAATATGACTTTCGTAAATCATATTGAGAGTATTGCCTCTGCTGCTTCTAAGATTTTAGGCTTCATTATGCGAACAATTTTGTCCTTCAAGATTGTCGGCAGTTATCCCCCACGTGGTACGGACTATAATCTACTTCTAGGTACACACAATCTTGAATCGTTAGCCTTTCGAAGAAGACGACTTGCTGCCAGATTTATTTGGAAGATTATACATGGTAGGTTGGACTGCAGTGACATCGTTAAGGTTTCATGTTCCTCGTCCAACTGCTCGTCATGCTGTTACATTTAGAATTCCAACTGAGAGGACGAATTTACTCAAAAAAGCACCCTTAACAACCATGTGTCGGGAGGCTAATAATTTTTATTTGGATATTTTTCACTAGCAGCGAGTAATTTTATTAAATATTATTAATATTATTTTACTTATATTTATTTATTTATTTTTACTTTCCATGTACAATTTATTATGTAGTTAGTTATTATTATTAGTATTGTACCCAGTATTGATTTATGTATATGTGTATTTTTACTTCCCGAGCGTAAGCAAAGGAAGTATTGTAATCGAGTCCGTCGGCCGACTCTCTACTTTTACGTTTTCTCGATCTTTCATGACCCCTAGAAGACGAAGAAATAGGTCTCCCATTTCCGTCTGTCTGTCCGTCTGTCCGTCTGTCCGTCTGTCCGTCTGTCCGTCTGTCCGTCCGTCTGTCCGTCTGTCCGTCTGTTGTCATGGATTTTTATTAGACAGATAATCTCCGAAAGTACTCGACCGATTGTTGTGAAATTTTGTACTTATATTAAGAATATCATGTAGATGGTAAAACGCTAACCAAAATTTGTCGAATCATCCCCACCACTAAAGCGATGACGTCACTTCAAAATTGTACATAGTAAATGGGTTTTCAATTGTATAAAATAACATAGTCCTACACATGTAGTTTACAACTCTGAATCGACTTTTCACCCGAAACGTCCAGATTTTTGGAAAAAAAATCAAAATTATAAAACAACATTTTGAAATTTAATTTTTAATCTGCTAACCAGAATGCTTTGAAATGTTGCAGATGTTTTAAGGCTATAAAGAGCATCATAAATCTTTAGTCAAAAAATATTTGCTTATCCCCTCCAAAAACTTGATGACGTCAGCTCAAAAGTTTGTGGAATAAATCATATCTAAAATGTACAAAATATGATGAGTCTGTACTTGTGAACTATCACTCCATTAATATTTTTTGGATTTGCATATACAGGGTGACTCAAAAAAATTAATGAATGCGTAAATATATTTTATTGATTTAATCAGGAACTACAAAACCGAATGCTCTGAAATCTTGCAGATGTTTTAAGGTCATAAAGAGCATAATAAATGTTTAGTCAAAATATATTTGCTTATCCCCTCCAAAAACTTGATGACGTCAGCTCGAAAGTTTGCCGAATAAATCATATCTAAAATGTACAAAATATGATGAGCCTGTACTTGTCATTTATCACTCCATTCATATTTTTTGGATTTGCATATACAGAGTGACTCAAAAAAATTAATGAATGCGTAAATTTATTTTATTGATTTAATCAGGAACTACAAAACCGAATGCTTTGAAATCTTGCAGATGTTTTAAGGTTATAAAGAGCATAATAAATTTTTAGTCAAAATATATTTGGTTATCTTCTACAAAAAACTGATGACGTCAGCTCAAAAGTTTTCCGAATAAATCGTATCTAAAATGTACAAAATATGATGAGTCTGTACTTGTGATTTATCATTCCATTCATATTTTTGGATTTGCATATGCAGGGTGACTCAAAAAAATTAATGAAGGCGTGAATTTATTTTATCGATTTAATCAGGAATTACAAAACCGAATGCTTTGAAATCTTGGGAATATTTTAAAGTTATTATAAGCATGGTAAACTTTTGTTCAAAATGTATTTGTTCATCCCTCCTAAAAAAATTGATGACGTCACCCTTAAATTTTGCTGAATAAATCCTATCTAAAATGCAAAAAATACGATGAGTTTGTACTTGTGATTTATCATTCCATTCATATTTTTTAGATTTTCTTAAGAGGTGGTTCAGAAAAATTAATGAAGTCAATTTATTTTATTGATTAAATTAAAGGCAACACTTATTATTAGTATTACACCCCAACCAACCCAATTTGGTAGACACAAAATTTGTTAAAGGAAAAACTCGGTTGAAACATAAGGGTAGCACGCTTATTTACATCGACTTTAACATTACAGACCTGCATTTGTTTTATGCGTTCACTTGATTCCGCGAATGTGAAATAGACATGTTTATAATCAACCAATTGTGAATTTCACCGTCAAGAATTAAAATAAAACCCAATGTTTTATATAATAAGCGGAAGTCGAAGCAATAAAACCGACGGTCGTTTTGTTTACAGTTTCTGTGTTTGGCTCTCACGTATGCTGTTACGCCTGTCATCTTAAATTAACAATGTTTATACATACACGATTTTCAGTTGCCTCTGATACGTAGGTATACGTGAGTAAATTGTTTCGTTATTTTATTGATTATTACAAATCAATATTCAAACGACCCAATTCATTTTCCCGAAAATTTGAGAATATAATAATTTTATTCTTAGTATTACACTACATCTATCCCAACTGATATACGTGTCCTTGCAAAAATGTTGATGACGTCATCGCAATTTTTTTTTAAATTCCCACTACAAAAATGTAATGAGAAAAAAAACACAATAGGCATGCAGTCGTCAAGTTTCCGACAGCGAGGGAAGTACTGTCTAAACTCTTTAGACCAATTTTTTATAATTGTCCTGTAAGTGGGTGAAGAACCTGTTGGGCAATAAAGTCATTATTAATATTATTATTAACGGTTTTCCCTTAACACCAATTTTCTTTCTCGAGATCGCGAAAAACAAACTAAAACTCAAAGTTGTTGACGTACTTCTAAAATAAAACTGAAAAATTATGTAGTTCTAGAAAGAATTGAGTGTAAAAATGAGTAAAAAGTGCAAACGAAACGAAAGACCCCGCTAAAGACAAATGAACTATAAGAAACGAAAATCAAAACTGAGAACGGCACTCCAGCGACGACGAGGGGTGTACGTCACTGACAAAAACCAAGGGGCGGCTGGTGCCGGGGGGCACAAGGGCACGTGCCCCCTCAAAATTACAACGTCTACAAACACACTGGACATGGTAAAATAGTGATTTTCAGTATTTAAAAAAAATTCCAGAAATTTGTGTCATAATTATCAAAACGATTTTTTTTTATCTCTCTCCACTTGTATAAAATGTATCAAAACTTACATCCATATAGATCTAAAGACGTGTCTTGGGTATTTGATATGTTATTTCTGATGAAATGCTGATAAAAGCCGGGCACAGAGACCGAGAATCATGGCTGATTTAGATGTTTTGTTTATACCGCTGTCATGGAAAACGCACGTCCTCACAACTGGACTGCGGACGCATTCCAACCGTGCTCTGCAGGATTGAGTTACTAACTCGGGTTTTAATTTTCATTCTACGCAAACACGTATGATAAATATTCTTGTATAATATCGGTAATACAGATATTCGGAAACAACTACACACCGCCTATATTAATAAATATTCGGGCACATAACGCAAGGGTCGACAAAAATCGCCATATATTACGCCGATTGATAATGTGCATAAAATTTTATGGAGTGTTTGAACTTGCTTTACGTGGACATGACGGAAGTAGGGAATCACAAAATCCAGGTATATTTCGAGGTCTGATTAATTTTACGGCTGAATTGGACTCTGCTTTATCAATCATTTGAAAGAAGCAACGGTTTTTAAAGAAACGCCTAAAACTGTTCAAAATGAACTTTTTGATGCCATGAACGTAAAATTTTAACCGAAGGCAAAAAGGTATGTGGAGAAA